TGGTTTTATTTACAAAAAGTACCCTGCAGGGGGCAGACTGGGTGTGTGGCTGGGACTTCAGTAGCCCTCAACAATTCCTTAAGCATCTGATGTCTTCAGAGGAAATGCACTGTGATTACAGTAATAACTTACACTTCTGACGGTGGGCCAGGCCCTGCACTAAGTGCTTAACAGGTCTAATTTAATCCTCCGGGCATCTCTTTTATCCTCATTTTACAGGTGAGGAAACTGAGCCTTTGATAAGTAGTTCATTCAAGGTTTCACAGCTGTAGGCGGCACAGTCTGAACTTGAACTCAGGGATGTCTCGGCCCAAAGCCCACATACTTGACCACTGCACAACAACTCTCTAAACAGAGGGATTTGGAGGGAGCTTCCTCTGGGCCAGGCAAGGCACCAAGCACTCTACATGTATACATGCCAAATTTAAGCCTCACAATCACCATGTGAGGGAAGTGCTATTAGCCCCAATTTTTAGATGAAGCATCCGGGGTTCAGAGAGATTGAAGATTGTGCTCTTAACTGGGTATCAAACTCAGATCTACCTAGTTGCAAAGTCATGCTCTTTGTGTCCCAGAAACTGAAGAGAGTGACATTGTAGGGGCAGGAGTGAGGTTCTGGTGTCATTGAGTCTAGAGCCCTGGGCACTACTCTTGGTTTTACCCCTAAGGTCTTGTGTGATTTCAGGCAAGACTTCCTCTGTTGGCCTCAGTCTCCTCATCTGACAAATGAAAGCACCAGATGGGCTAATCTCTCAGGCTCCTCTCAGATCTAAAGCTTTTCTAGTTTCAGATTTAAGAAATTCACTTTGGATCTCTGTACCCTGGTGTCAGCCTGATGCCTAGAGGTGAAGATGGGCGTGCAGCTCAGCCTTTCAGAAGAGAGCTAGTCCGTGCTGTACTGTTAAGGGTTGGGCATCACCTCAGCCCTCAGGGTGGAGGCACTCAGCTGGACAGACTCCCAAGAACTCTTCCTGGGTCCACAATTTCCCTCAGGGTTCCACATGGGGAGGCTATAGGCCAGATTTAGCCCACAGGGGTGTTTTAGTTGGCTCTTACAATATTTTTAATCAACTGGTATTAGTTACCAACATTTCTACATCAAAAGAGATTTTAGACTAAAATCTGGATTTATGGATTCTTCTGAAAAGTCTGAACATCTGGCCACTTCGGGCCCATGCTCCCACTGGCCACAATGGCCCAGGGTGCTGGCCACTGGCCTCTCAGCTGAGACAAGGGGTCCTGCTTTGCCATTACCCCCAGTGCTCCCATGGCCAGCTCACACACACCTTCCCTGCCTGGCCCTATAGCATTTCAGTCTGTGAGCCTCATTTAAGGAACCAAGCGTGCTCTTTTCTGGAGGAAGGGCCCAAAAGGAGGGGGTGGGCTTCGTGCAGCATTTGGGCATTTAAAAAGCTCCTTTGCCTCCAGATACAACCAGTGCGCTGGGCTCTGTTGACTACTGAGGCTAAGCCCTGCATCCTGGGTGTAGGTAGGAGCCCCTGCCCTGAACAGAAACTGAAGGTACGACAAAAGGAAGAGCGTTCATCCATCTCTGGAACTCTCTTTCCCCCAGCAGCTGCCACTCAGATCTCTATCTGCTTTCCGGGGCCCAGGGTGGACTAGCAAGCATGTGTCATTTCCCTGGACAGGGTTATAATGGCAACATTGTGCTGAGTGGAACAAGAGAGGTTTTCATCCAAGAACCAGCATTGAGCAGACATTCGAGTAAGGGGCTCTGGGGCTCACCCTACACAAAGGAGCTCAGGAGAGGGGGCCTGAGCTGAGGAGAAGCCCCATGAGCTAGGCTGCATGTCTACAATAGCATGCAATGAGGGTGGAAAGCACAAAAGCACTGCTCTCAGAACACCTCATTGCAATGTCATTTCCCTCTGCAAATAAATAAGCAAATAAACAATCCCAGAGGCTAAATGACCCTCTCCACCCCATGACACATGCATCCATAGAAGCCTCTTGAGTGCTTGAGCATTTACTCACTAACTAACTCCACAAGATACTTACTAGGTGCCAGGCACTGCGCTAAGGATCTAGCAGTAAGACACAGCACCCACCCCTGCACTGTCTGCAATCTGGGGGCCAGGGAGAGGTAAGGAGAGAAGTAAGTAGGAAATTCTATACTGATGGCCCAATGGAAGAACTGAGAGTCACACAGTGACGGAGTAAGCTAAAAAAATTCAGACTTGAACCCCTAACCTGTGGTTTTTCTTCCTCTTCCCAACATCTCCTGAGATCAATGCTTGTCTCCTCTGAGGGGCTCAGTGAAGAAGGCACCCTAGATACCATATAAGGAATTTGGATTCTACACTGAAGGCAAGAGGTAGCCATCACATATTTTAGGGGGGATCTGATTAGGAACATGGAATGGTCACTCTGGTGGCCAGGGTGGAAGCAGACCTGGGGGCAAGTGACAAGACAGAAGGAGGGAGTATGTTTCTCTCACTGGGACAGAGAACTTTTAGCCTCCAAATTTTCCTTTCCCAGGGCTTCCCAGTTCCACCTGATAAGCTAAGAATGAGACTGGAGAGTATCATTTGTTTTCACAAGACTGGCAGCATGAGGGAGTTGAAAGCTTTCTTCCTGGTATTGTTCCCAGGGACCGAATTTGATACCATTTTTACTGAGCAGAAGTTCTTCACACAGAATTCTTTAGACAAGCACCAGGCAAACCTGGAAGACTTGGTGCTGAGCAAGAAGGAAAGCGAAGCTATGAGGCAGATCCTAAAAATCCTTTCCAGACAGTTGTACTCTAACGGGGAAATGGGAAGGAGAGAAAGCCAGGCATCTAGAGACTGCCTCTCCACCCTCTCCCTGTGCTTCCCACTGGACACCCCACAGTCCAGCCAAACCAAACGGTGTGGCAGACATATCCTGCAGTTTTCTATCTCTATGTCTTTGTTCTTACTGTTTTCTCTGCCTGTAATGTTATCTCCTCAATGCAGGCCCACCCAAATGTCTGTGTTCTAGTACTGTCACCATAATTAGTAAGAAATTCTTGCTTTGTCTTGATGGACTCAAAAAGCACTTTATCTCTACTCTGGTGCTTCACACATAATAATTTGTAAATAAATTATTTTGTATGTATTTATTTCCTAGATTGTAGATTCCTTGAAGAGATTATTCCTACCTAGTGTTAGTTCTCCCAAAAGAAACTTACACAGTGTGCAATAAATATTCTTAAGTGAATTGATGAAAAGTGGGTATAGCTTTTAGGGTTACTCTAGACTTCATTAAAGGAAAAGTACAGAAAAAATATGTAATTATTCCTCATCCAAAACCCACACGTAGCCAGCCAGCTTCCTCATCCTGCATTCAGTTTTCCTGACAACCAAGCTGTAGTCAACTTAGTCAACAGTGCCACCCAGTGGACATTGGGTAATTATCTAAACCAGAACCACTATACCTTCAGGGCAACTTCTTTTTGTTAATCCTTAGAACTGTGCACAGACACAGTGTTCTCCGGTTTTTACATCTTTCCCAGATCACGGTTCAGTTAATCCATCCCACAGATTCTTCTACAGATACATATAAATCCTTCTTAGCCTTTTTGACTTTACTTTTCCAATTCTCTGATAAACCTCCAAAGTTCCTGAAAGTTGCTGGAAGTTAATCTACCCAAGCCTCCATGAGTTTCTGCAATAGTTATGATCTCTATTTTAAAAATTATTTCAAGTGAAATATTATGTTTTTAAAAGTATTAACGGACTAGCCTGAGAACTAACTACAATTTATAGCCTTAATTCCAAGTATTTCAGAGTTCAAACAGTGAACTTTTGGAACTTCATCCACTTCTAAATTGTTGGTTGTCAACTTTAGAATTTAAACTGACCTTTTCAAATTGGAAAAGTGGGCAGGAACAAAGAGGAACTTGGAAAATAATAATGGCTCACATTTTTATAACTATTTATGGTTTAGAAAGTGGGTTTGTATCATTTCATTTGCCCTGAGAACAGTCTTGTGAGTTCAGTATGAGGTTTCCCCCAGGACAGATGAGCAAGCAAGCCTCATAGGTTGAATATTATATATTTAGAAAGTAGTAGAGCAAGAGCTCACACACGTTTCAGACTCAAATCCCATTGTTGTTTTTTTTCACTACACCACATTTCCTCTGAGTGCTCACAGGCACACTAAACAAACTGCCCATGCAATTTTGCAAAGCCAACGTTAATTTCAACCTGCCCATAAAAGCAATGGAGAAAAAATTCCCGGTTCAGTAAAGTGCAGGATGCTCTTTCTCAGGCCCTTCCTTGTCTCTCTGCCTTTGCATAAGGTGTTGTTTAATTATTATTACTTCACTCCTCTTTCACACCATTACTGACACCAGCATAGCACCTGGTCCACTGTCTGGCACTAGAAGCTGCTCAGGAAAGACCTGTCGACTGAAAACGACAAACCCAAAGCCAGGAAATGGGTGGCAGCTGCAAAGAGAGGTTTTGATACCATGGGGGGGG